GAGGCTGGCCCTGTGGCTACATACCGGGTCGCAGGGGCGGCCGGGCCCCCTGGTGGGCCGGGCCCGGTCGCAGCTGCGACCCTGGTATGTACGCCACTGCCTCAACATAAAATACCGAATTTACATGCATTCGTTAAATCCGTACGAATTAGAACCAGGGGTTGGAGGTTCAGCGGTGCCTGCACGTAAAAGTGTCTGGGTGTGGTGCAGGAAAGCCGGGCAGAAAAGCGCTGGCTGCCCGGGGAGCTACAGAACACCGCCATCGTGTGGCGGCTAAGTGTAACCGCGACCACCCAGTAACAATCAATTAAGCTGCGGTTAACCGCAGCTACTGGGTGGTCAATTGCCAGCACACGCTCGTTAAGCCGCGGTTAACCGCGGCTTCAGGGAGGTAAATGGAGGGCGCACTCCAGCTTCTGGGTGGCCAATTAAGGTCGCTGGCCGGTTTCCCACGGCTCTGGAGAGGCTGAAAAGAAACTGTTTGTTTGGTAGATGGAATCTACCGAACGGCTGTGCAGAAAGGGAGAAATAAATCCTTCTGCACAGTAAAATTAACCCTTTAGCTGCCGGTCCATAATCCAAAGGCAGCATGTGGGCAACCAGGCTCCTCCAATGCAATGTGGCGAGATTGGTCTCGAGATATATCTATCTATCTATCTAATCTATCTATCTAATCTATCTATCTAATCTATCTAATCTATCTCCAAAAGTACAAGATAGCACTCCAGGGACTTCCAAGTTGAATGAATAAAACTTAGCTTTTATTAGCTCAAAATAAAAATCAACGTTTCAGTCTGTATCACAGACTTTCATCTTGGAAGTCCCTGGAGTGCTATCTTGTACTTTTGGCTGTATCTGTTTGCTGATAAGCACCGGGCAAGTACATCAAGGAAGGTGGAGTGCATTACTATTTTTGTTTTTTATATATATATATATATATATATATATATATATATATATATATATATATATATATATATATATATATATATATATATATATATATATATATACACTCAACACTCTGGATTCATTATATACACACACTCACTGTATTCACATGTGGCATGTATATTTTGTGCATTTACCTTTAGAAATAGTTTATATTTTTTTCAAAATGGTAAATGTACAGAATATCGGCCTGAAAGTTCACAGATTATCGGTATCTGCCTTAAAAAATCAATATCGGTTAGTCCCTAGTAAGAAGCGCTGAAGTGCCTCTGCGGCTGTCAATGAGAGCCACTAGAGGCTGGATTAACCCCAATGTAAACATAGCAGTTTCTCTGAAATTGCTATGTTTACAGCTGCAGGGTTAACCCTAGATGGACCTTGCACACAGACCACTTCATTGAGCTGAAGTGGTCTGGGTGCCTATAGTGTTTTTTTTAAATATTTGCTGCATTTGCCTTTCTCTAACTCAAACCACTAAAGCACTTGTTCATGCACTCCTTTCCTGAATTGAAGTACCTTAGGCTAGGGAAGGGAGTCACAGTAGTAAAGTCCAGTCACTGAAAACATACACCTTCAGGAAAGTTTACCATCTTCCTGGGTTTCTCTCATTTCACTGCTTTCATCACTTCCATAGCACAGCTCACTTTCCTGTCACTATTTGGTTCTTCTGAACAACACTTTTACTAGCCTATTTCAAAACCGGCATTACATTGATCAATCCTTACCCCATTAACATGCTATTATTTTGTCTTCACCTGTTCCTCATACTGAAAGCTTGTTTGAGCAGGGCCTTCTTCACCTCTTGTATGTTAATTACTTGTTAAATACCCCAATTTTATTATAGGAATATGTTGGCAAAATAAAATTGCTAATACATGTCGTTTTTTTTTTTTTTTTTTTTTTTTTTGTCTTATTGTCAGCAATTCCCAGAAAATGTACCTTATTCACCTGCAAACTGCTAGATTATCTTTTTTTTTACCAGGTTACATTTTCTTCTGAGGAGTCTGATTTATAAATAGTTCTTATGCGCTTGAGAATTTTTCTGTATCGAACAGCTGTTAGTGCAGTTATGTCACACAGATATTTAGTTATTTTTACATCTTGAACTGACTACACATGTCGCCAGGGTGTGATGGGAGAAATCTTGCTACTAGCAAGTTGTTTTTGTTTTTTGTGACTCGGATTTTGCTTTTCCTTTGACTACATAATTCAATAAATGTAAACTTCGCATACTTGTGACACTGCATTGGTGGGGTTTTATTATTTATTTTTTCTTTCAAGGGACATAAATGTGTCCCTTGTAAAAGCTTTCTGTTGCTTTGTGTCACAACAATTTTAGTACAAATAATTGGTTGTGGGCGGGAAACTTTGCAAGTTGGTTAATTGCAGTGTTCATATACAGCACTGCTGCAGAAAATGCTACGAACATATGCAACATTTCTCCATTAAATGATGTTCAAGCATGTGGCTTCAGGGCAACAGCCCTTCATCACGCCACTGTTTCGTCTGCCAATTATATCCTTTATTTTTCTCTTCTAAACTCTAATTCCATTGAATAACTGTGATAGTAGTATAGAATGTCAGTGTGAACTCCAGAGTGTTTCAGCATGTAATCCGGATGCTTTTAAATGTGTCCAATTTTTAATTACCGTATATACTAGAGTATAAGCTGAGGCCCCTAATTTTACCACATAAAACTGGGAAAACTTATTGACTCGAGTATAAGCCTAGTGTGTGTGTATAGAATGAATGCAGTGTGTGTGTGTGTGTATAGAATGAATGCAGTGTGTGTGTGTGTGTGTATAGAATGAATGCAGTGTGTGTGTGTGTGTGTGTATAGAATGAATGCAGAGTGTAAACTGGATGAGGGGAGGGCATTTTATTTTAATTTAATTTTATTATATTTTAATATTTGCATTATATTTTTTAATGTTTTTTGTCCCCCCTCCCTGGCCAGGCAACAAGCAGGGAGGGGGGACAAATTTTTAAAAAAAAAAACAATGAAAATATTAAAATAATTTAAATATTTTATTATTAAAATATAATATTGAATCCCTGGTGGTTCAGTGGGGGGGCTGGCAGTGAGCTCTTACTTACCTTCTTGCAGCTCCCTCCTCCTCCTTGCAGCTCCCCGGTCAGCTCCCCGGCGGCTCTCGCGAGACTTACACTGGGAGCAGAACGGAGCTGACCGAGGAGCTGCACGGAGGAGGAGGGGGCTGACAGGAGCTGCAGGAAGGTAAGTAACAGCTCACTGTCAGCCCCCAACTGGACCGCCGGGCTTGTAATGAGCCCGGCGGTCCTGGTCTGTATTATGGCAATGTAAGTTGCCATAATACAGACTGACTCGAGTATAAGCCGAGTTGGGGTTTTTCAGCACAAAAAATGTGCCGAAAAACTCGGCTTATACTCTAGTATATACGGTAATCTGGGTTACTGATCCCATGATGTCACATAGGGCAGCAAACTCGAAATATTCAGTCAAAATTTCTTTAAAGGATCACTATAGTAAATATATAAAATGAAAAAGACCGGTCTCCTTGCCTTCTTTCTTACTTTTATATGAACTTGCCCCCTAAAAATAAATTTGTCTTTTTTTATTAAAACTTACCTCCGTTCCAGCGCTCCTTGCCAGGCCACGCCCCATTTTTCGTCAAAATGACGAAATCGCAGGGCCCAATAGGACGCTTCGCTTTGAGAAGCATCATGGTGCTCTGGTGCGCATGCGCGGCTTCGCCCTGCACCAATCCGGCTCTTGATAGAGCGGCATTAAATGCCGCTCTATGAAAACTGATCGCTCTACCGCGCATATGCACGTTCAGGAGCTGAGCTGACAGCTCAGCTCGGTGTCTGCTCGCCCCCTCTTACAACAACCCTCCAGCCCAAAGTAAGTATGCAAACACTACATATAGAGATCTCTCTATCTATATTTGTATACAAACACACATTTTATATAAAGATTGTTAAACATATTCTCTCTCTCTCCCTCCCTCCCTCCCTCCACACATTGCTGACAGGCTCCGGGGTTACTACAGGACATAAGAGGCGCGTTCACAGTGCTTCCCATCACCTGTCTGCTGATGGCACGTTTGATGTCTTCACCCAAGCGTGAAGACGTCAAATGTGAAGATGAATGCGAATTATGCATTCATCAACTCGGAATTCCCTCTGGTGGCAGTCTGAGTGACTGCAACTGGAGGTGTTCCTAGCTTCAAAGGTAAACACTGTTTTCTCAGAAAATTGTTTACATGAGAGAGGCTGCAGGGAGCTATAGTTCTCACCTGAACAATCTCATTAAGCTGAAGTTGTTCAGGTGACTATAGTGTCCCTTTAATGAACTCTGATTTGTAACTAAAGATGTTATGCATATTTTGTTTACATTACAAATAACATTCTATTTTCCCCTTAGTATTGTTTTAAATCCTGTAGGGGTTAATCCCATTGCTGTTATTTTTGAAAGCTATAAAACTTAAGTCATACTTTCGTTTTGTTTTTTTTACATTTGTTCGCTCTACTCATTCTGGAAATTTGGCACTTTTTTAAACCATTCTTGTGAAACTTTTTTTCATAGAAGGAGCAGCCAATAAAGTTCTTGAAAAGTATCAAAGAACCTTCAAATCTCTACCTTTAAAGAAAACATAAAAACAGGACAGTTAAAAATGATTTCAATGCCCATGGGAGCAGATGGTACTCTAACAGGGACATTGTATACCCATCTTCCAAGTGTCACCAGATATATTTTATTAGAATAGCATTTCTTTATGGTAACACTCTCCATAAAAGTACAGTATAGCAGTATCTTTATAATGTAAACTACTTGTTACATTTCAGCTTTAATCAGATTTACTTAAACACCAGTTTTTTTCTTTTTTGTCTTTAGCCTCCATGAAGAGATAATAGACTTTTACAAATATATGTCCCCGCGACCGGAAGAGGAGAATATGAGGATGGAGGTTGTCAGTAGAATTGAAAATGTCATTAAGGAGTTATGGCCAAATGCAGATGTAAGTATAACTTTGACAATGAGCTGTCCCTGACTAGACGAGCACAGGGTCTCAATTCATCGACTGAGTGTCAGCTTATCTTTAAACTGCTTAAATACTGTATTGCATGAATTGCACATTAATCCTTAATAGTGTGGCATTACATATACATAGCCCATAAACTTTAGACCTGTTCTCTAACCTGTAGGGCAAGATTCAATGCTTTAGCGAATATAAGGCTTCTAAAACAATTGTACAGGCATATTCAAGTTTATTTTGTCTTAAAATGTCTTTTTACTGCTTTAGGTGCAAATATTTGGAAGCTTCAAAACAGGACTTTATCTTCCTACAAGGTAAGAATCTATTTAATGAAATATTGATAACCTCAAATTTTGAAGGGACACTAGAATTATCAGAACAACTTCAGCTCTTAATGAAGCAGTTTTGGTCTATTAATCATGCCTCTGCAGTATCCATTCTGTGCCATTTAGGAGTTAAATCACTGTTTATGCAGCTCTAGTTACACCCTCCCCTGTTTGTGACTCACATTTTCAGTGAGTGTTAAGTTGTTTTAGAAGTTTATCATTTGCTCTAAAAAAATGAATGTTAATCACACACAAGGCTTCTGTGGGGTCTAAAAGGCTTTTAAATGAACAGGATATAAAATTCTAAATTAAGCAAACTATGCAATAAAAGAAGCTTTAAATATGAAATCTCTATTTACATGAATTGTTGAGAGAGGCTGTGCAAGCCACATGCAGGGAGGTGTTACTAGGGCTGCATATAGAAAGCAATTTCACTCCTAAATGGCAGAGAATTGAGCATTGATGTGGCAGTGTTTTCATCTATACACCAAAACTGCTTCATTGAGCTAAGTTGCACTATAGTGCCAGGAAAGCAAATTCATTTTCCTGGCACTATAGGGTCATTAGGTCCCCCTCACCCTCAGGGGCCACCCACCCGCTGGGCTGAAGAAGTGAAAACCCCTTCAGCCAATTATCTTTCTCCAGTGCCGGGCTCCCTCTGTGCTGGGGGGATCTCTCCACCCCCTGCCGACGTCAGATCCGACTGCGCGGCAAGAGTCGCGCGCGTTCAAGTGGCCCATATGAAAGCATTATTACTTAATGCTTTCCTATGGACATCCAGCGTCCTCTCACTGTTTCTCTGAAACTGCTATGTTTTCAGCTGCAGGGTTGAAACTAGAGGGTCCTGGCACCCAGACCATTTCATTGAGCTGAAGTGGTCTGGGTGCCTATAGTGGTCCTTTAATTGAAGAAAATCGAAGCAGTCATTGTCTATACTTCCAATGCAGACGTTGGCAGTAAAGTTAAACCTTCCCATAAGTGTTATGGACATGGGTGTCTGTCATCCAAGGGATCCTTAATTTGTGTCAAACTGCTATACTTGATCTTCTATCTGGAGGATTGTGCCAAAGGACTCAAATTAAAATGTGTAGTGTGGACATTTTTAAGATTTAATGGTTGAGAACCATTATTCAGAATAATCTTAAAGGCTACCGGTCGTGTCCAAAACTTAAAAAAAAAAAAGAGTGTGGGGAAACTACTACGCGCATAAAACTTAATCTATACACTGTTCTTGCAATTATTTCAATTAAATTACATTTAAAGAATAGTTTTTTTCCCATCTGTCCATAATTTGGCTTACTCTATGCTGAATTTGTTTGCCTGCTTGACGAATCTTCCCCCAAGCAGGGCAAGTTGGTGAAGAGTGTGGGCAGACTGGAGGCGAATATTACAGAAGTTTTACACCAACCTCTGAGATCACAGGGAGGAGGAGAGGGTCATGGAAGTGTTAACATTTTTTTTAGTGTAGTCTTAAATAGAACTTGGCATTTTCTTCTGAAGAAATTTAGAAAAATGTGGCATAGAGCAGAACTTGTGCCCGTCACATCAAGGTAAGTGTCAAACTGTTCTTACAGTTTGACAGATTACTGGACTACCGCACCCTGATGTGCCTAGACTATGCATGATTGTTGCTCACTGAGGTTCACCTGGGAAGTAGCTGTGGCTAATAAATGTAATTGTTTCCTCTTAGCGATATCGACCTAGTGGTGTTTGGGAAATGGGAGAATTTACCACTTTGGACTCTAGAAGAAGCTCTTCGGAAGCATAAAGTAGCTGATGAGAATTCCGTGAAAGTTCTTGACAAAGCCACAGTGAGTTGCTTTTATTTGGTCGTAGCTTTTCAGGTGATATTGGAAGAAACCGTAAATCCTGTTGCTCACTCTTTTATTTTATTTTCTTTGAATAATTTTAGGTTCCAATTATTAAGCTGACAGATTCCTTCACAGAAGTTAAAGTGGATATCAGTTTTAATGTACAGAATGGGGTAAAAGCAGCCCAGCTCATCAGGGATTTTATCAAGGTAGGCATTCTGATAAAATAAAAAAATTGAAGACACAATGTCAATGCTTTATGTAGTCGAACTTGAAATGGTTGTGTATTGGAAAACCTCAAGTACTAGGTCCATTTTTATGTGGTCCTTCAGTAGTGACTAACATAATTATGTGTAAGCATCCATGGGAGTTGCATTTCAGAAACCGCTGATGTGTTTTTTTTGTTTTTTTTTTTGGACATAAGAAATAACTTTAACCCCTTCCTGACCTCAGACCTGCAGGGTACGTCTGACAAAAAATGGCAGTTAATGACTGTGGACGTAGCCTGCACGTCAGTGGCTAAAATGACCTGGGTACTCACCTGGACTGGCGATACTGGTCTGGGGATCGCTAGCAGTCCCCCTGCAGCAGCTCCAGCCTCTCTGGCCCTCCAGGGCCATGTTATCACCATGATCACATGGCTGCAATAGTATATGAAGCTGCCAGCAAGGGGACTGCCTGAGCAATCAGGCAGTCCCCCGACACCTAAAGTGTGTTTAAAAAAAAAAAAAAAAAAAAAGTATAATGTATTATAAAATCTTTAAAGCATTTTATAATATATTATATATATATATATGATTGCATTTAAGTGTACTTTGAGATATATGCATAATATAAAATGCTTTAATTATTTTTGTGTATATTATACATATAGGAAATAGTGTGTGTATTATGCCAAATAAGTTGTGGTGGGGAAAGTGTGGATGAAAACCCCTTCCACCTGAAATAAATGGATAGTTAATGCAATGTTAAACACAAATACACACGAGGCAAGCCATAAGACTTGCTTTTACCTCATAAATCTCACTTTAACAGTGCTCTCACACGTGTGTGTGTGTGTGTGTGTGTGTGTATATATATATATATATATATATATATATATATATACACACACACACAGATTCTATTTGTAGATTAACATCTCACAAGTACAACTGTACCCCTTAAGTATAGGTTTTATGGTAATTTTGAAAGTTACCTGGTCAAACATAAGATTTGTCAATTTATATTTTTGTAAATTGCTATTTGCGAGATTGGTTGTGTTGCCTTTGAGATGGGATGGCAGCCCAGAAATTCAAATTGACCCTACCATTACATACCATTTGTAAAAGTAGACCACCCAGGGTATTCAAAATGGGGTATGTCCAGTCTTTTGTAGTAGCCACTTAGTCACATACACTGGCTTAAGTTGGCTTTCATATTTGTTTGTGTGTGAAAAATGAAAAAAAAAAAAAGAATATGAACACTAACTTTGGCCAGTGATTGTGACTAAGTGGCTAATAGAAAAAACTGGATATACCATATTTGCAATACCTTGGATTATCTACATTCGCAAATGGTATGTCTTCATGGGGGTAATTCTTATTCCTGGGCTACCATACGGTCTACATAACAAATTGGGCAAATATAAATGAAACGGGCAAGCCTTATATTTCACCATGTAACGTTACAAAAAAATGCAAAAAAAATGAGCGCTAACTTTGGCCAGCGTTCGTGACAAAAAAAAGACTGGACATACCCCATTTTGAATACCCTGGGTTGTCTATTTGCAAATGGTAAGCACAGTGATTGGATCAGGCTATCACATGCCCGCAGACTGCTTGTTTTTCCTGAGTCCAACAGCATGCAGATTTACAGCTTCTGGCTTGAATATAGTAAGATTTTTTTCAGGAATACATGTAGTTGCACTGGTGACTATAGTGTCCCTTTAACTAAACAAACTGCTCTTTCACTGACGATATCATTGTTGTGATATGTTTTACAACACATATATTTGTGTTCAGCGAAGTCTCCGGAGTATAACCATACCCCCATGTACTGGTTTTATAGTGTTTTTCAAAGTTACAGGGCCAAATATAAGGATTGCCCGTTTCATTTTTTTAATAAAAATTTGACAAATTGGTTATGTTGCCTTTGAGACCATATGGTAGCCCAGGAATGAGAATTACCCCCATGATGGCATACCATTTGCAAAAGTAGACAACCCAAGGTATTGCAAATGGGGGTATGTCCAGTTTTCTTTCTAGTTGTCACTTAGTCACACACACTGGCCAAAGTTAGCATTCATATTAGTTTTTTGCATTTTTCACGCACAAACAAATATACAAATATAAATGCTAACTTTGTCCAGTGTTTGTGAGTTAAGTGGCTACCACAAAAGACTGGACGTACCCCATTTTGAATACCCTGGGCTGTCTGCAAATGGTATGTCATGGTGGCATTAATTTTAATTTCAAGGCTGCCATATCGTCTCAAATGCAAAATGGCCAATCTGGCAAATAGCAATTTGCAAAAATAGATATTGGCAAATCTTATGTTTTGACCCTGTAACTTTCCAAATACCCATAAAACCTATAGTTGAGAGGTACTGTTGTATTTGTGAGCCATTACTCTAAACAAATGAGTGTTTTCTACAGAAATGTATTCTACTGATATCATCTGTGAAATGGCAGTTTGTGTTCCAAAAAAAGCCTCTATCTCGATCGGACAGGGTTTGTGACTAAGTGGCTACTAAAAGAGTAGACCTACCCCAATTTGAATACTGTGGGTTGTCTACTTTAAAAAAATTAAAATCATGCACCCATGTCAATTTAGGAGATTTTTGAAGCTGGCCAATGTAATTTACTCCCCATCAATTTAAAAAGAAATTGATAGGGAGTAAATTACATTGGCCAGCTTCAAAATTCTCCTAAATTGACATGGGTGCATGATGAAGAGCTGAGAAAATTCCAAGTTGGAAAACTGGAATGCGCACCCTCCAAATGTCTTTTTTAGCCCCCAGAGAACCTGACACTCCTATACATAGTGGGTATCGCTGTACTCAGATGTTGCTGAACACATATTGGGATGTTTTTTGGCAGTAACCTTTAAAGTTCTCCTTACATGTATTCTTAAATTGCTATGTGTCAAAAAAAGCACCACACTTTGTAGATGTGTAACAGATTTTGGGGGTTAACGTTAGAAAAAGTGTTTGGGTTTTGTTTCACTTTTTTTCCATCATATTTTATATTTTTTGTTTTATAGTAAATTTATATGATGAAAATAATGGTATCTTTAGAAAGACCATTTAATGGCGAGAAAAACTGTGTATATATAGTGTGTGTGTATGTATGTGTATGTGTGTATGTATATGTATGTATGTATATGTATGGTGTGTGTGTAAAATTACAGCTAAACACAAACACCACAGAATAGTAAAAACAGCCTTGGTCCCAAACGGTAAGAAAATTGAAAAGCTGTCTGATCACGAAGAGGTTAAAATCATACCTTGAATAGTTTGTCCAAACTTGTAGAAAACAGTCCAATTTTTAACACATACAGGCTTATGAAATGTATTGTCAAAGTAGATGAACAGATTCTTTATTTTTAACTTTGAATTCTCACTTTAGTAAAACAACCTTGATAAAGTTTATTTTGCAAAACATTACAACCTATTTCAGTGCATTCAGTTTAATCACTTTTTATTTATTTTTTTCCCTCCTCTTACCTTTCGGTGTTGCAGAAATATCCGGTCCTTCCTTACCTGGTGCTGGTTTTAAAGCAGTTCTTGTTACAGAGAGATCTTAACGAAGTGTTTACTGGGGGAATAGGCTCTTACAGTCTGTTTTTAATGGCTGTCAGTTTTCTGCAGGTGAGCTTTCATTGATTGTCATAAATGCTTTTATAAAATTTTACTTTTTTTTTTGTCCAGTAACTTAGATCTTCAGTCTTATTACTGAAACATCTTCCAGTTATTTAATTTTTTTTTTCTCCCCCTGTTTATTTTTAATCTTTTTAGCTGCACCCGCGAGAAGATGCCTGTAGTCCAGATGCCAACTATGGTGTCCTGCTCATAGAGTTTTTTGAGTTATATGGAAGGCACTTCAACTATCTAAAAACTGGAATACGCATAAAAGATGGTGGGTCTTACGTAGCAAAGGATGATGTTCAAAAAACCATGCTTGACGGTTATAGACCTTCAATGCTGTACATTGAAGACCCATTGCAGCCTGGTAAGTACAATCATCTCTTACAAATGTGTTGTTTTTTCCTTCCTGATCCATGTTCTTTCCCCAAGTATAGTTGTGGATCTAATAAGTTTTTGTTTTGCCTGTATTGCAGGCAATGAAGGATGGTTTTATGGTTAGCCATTAGAGGCATCCTACAGCTATGCATTTGTGCAACTATCAAGGCTCAAAGAGAATTTGTAATAATCTGTGATGTGCATAGGAAGTTGTTCCATTATTAAACACAAAAAACTGAAATCACATTGACATAATTCGGACCCTTAAAAGGACACTGTAGGCATCTAGACCACTTAGGCTCATTGAAGTGGTCTGGGTACAGTGCCCGTCTTGCCCTTAATGCTGCTATCTTAAACATTGCAGTTCCAGAGAAATTGCAGCACTAAGTCTGCCCTCAGTGGCGGTCTACCAGACAGCCACTAGAGGGCTTCCTGGTTTGAAACTGACCTTTGGTCCGGTATCGTATGCTGGACACCCACCATCAGATTTTTCCCCATAGTAAAGCATTGATTGCTTTGCTATGGGGGATCTAAAGGGCGTGCAGAATTTGCTGCGCATGTGCATTAAAGCTCGCTGTTCGCGGGACAGAGGTGGAGCTTCGACCCAGCGCAGAGGGACATCGGCACTGGGATCAGGTAGGTAAGTAAAGGGTTTTTAACTTATTGTTCACTGGGGTCGTGCGAGAGTGGGGGAGGCAGGGGAAGCTACAGCTTTTATATTCCTGGCACTATAGTATCCCTTTAACTCTGTACGAATTACCTTTTGGCAGGGATTTACAGCCTCAATTTTTATTTTATTTTTAGGCAGGAGGAGACAAGTTTAGCACACCTGATTTGGGTAGTTTCTGCCCTTTATCTCTACAGATCCCTTCGTGTCAGATGGAGATTGTCAGACAAAATACATTTTCAAAGCTGTTTGAGGGTCCCAGACAGATCCTGGACTTTAACCCAGACATTTGCAGAGTTGTGCCAAAGCTACTCTTCTCTGTTGTCTTGTCTGTATGTGTAGGGTGTTGGCAAGTAATCCTTTGTCCTTTGGCCTTCGTTAAGGATATCTGAGACTGTTCAGGGTTGAGCAAGAGCTGAACACACAAAGGTCTGGTTACAGAAAACAATACCCCCAAACCATGCTACCACCACCATGTTTCCATGTTGCGATAGCTGCGTTTTGCGGATGCCTGTTTTTCTCCAGATATGATCACTTGAATGGAGGCCAATCTTGTCCATCTGAGAGTCTTTTTAGGTGCTTCTTTTTTCTTTTAATGTGTTTTGCAGTGAGTTGAGGCTTCTGTCTGGCTAGTCTGCCATTAAGGTCAGATCGGTGGCGGTTTGCTGTTTTGTTAGTCCTTTCACAAGTTTCATCAATTTCCACACATGATCTCTGGAGTTCACCCAGAGTGACTCTTCTATATTTCCTCCAAAAACCCTTATCCCTGATTGCTAATTTTCACCGGGCAGCCAAATCTAAGAAGAGTGCAAGCTGTTCCAAACCTCCATTTATAAATTATGATGTCCACTGTGGAATCTTACATGCAGCTGAATATATACTTTTGCGTACTGTACACTACTATGCTGGCAGTTCCTTTGCTTGGGTTTTGCTCTGATAAGCATTTACACCCGTGAGACCTTGTACAGATAGGTCTGTACCTTTCCATATCCTGTCCAATTTATTAATTTTAACAACTTCCCTAAGATGATAGACAAATGGGATGCATCTGATCTAACTTTCTAAGTGTCATAGCAAAGGGTCTAAATACTGATGTCAATATGATATTTCAGTTTTCAACATATACATAATATTTAAAAACACAAATCATTTTTTAAACTTTTTTTTTCACCCTCTCATTTCCAGACTGTGCAGTGTTTTGACACGAAACCGGGGAACTAGTAGTACAATTATTGTAATACTTATGTAGTTGGTGTTTTCTATATTATCTGGGTTATTCACTAAATAGAGGATTGTTGGAAATTCAAGGTTAATTCAAAATTAAGGCCAAAGTAGCTTCAGGTCAGATGTGCCCCCACTTTGGCAACATTGGACTTAAATTTTTGAGTTCACCTTGATTGGTTTCCAGGTGAAAACTCTCAGGATCAAAGTTATTACCATGGTCTATAGTGTCATCATATTGCTAGTTTGTGGGTTTTTTTTTTTTTTTTGTAACACTACTGATGACAAAGAATCTTCTGGACAGTTGGATTCTAAAGATGGCACAACAGATGTATAATGCAATACTGTTCAGTGCAGGAGCTTAACTGTTTCCTTTCTTTCATCCCAGGTAATGATGTTGGTCGGAGCTCCTACGGAGCCATGCAGGTGAAACAGGCATTTGACTATGCTTATGTTGTTTTAAGCCATGCGGTTTCACCCATTGCCAAGTTTTATCCCAACAATGAATGTGAAAGGTATAAACCATCTTCTCTCTCATCCTTCCTTATGTTATTTGTAAATATGTGTACTTAACCAGCAATGATCTGTTGTGGTCTATAAAGTCTTCTTTGAAGTTGTGACTGGCACATAAAAATGCATGAAATGCATTAAAACCTTCATTGGAAGTGGTATTACTCATGACATTTTATTTATTTTAATTTACACACAGCATTTTGGGACGTATTATTCGAGTGACACAGGAGGTAGTCACTTACAGGGAATGGATATCAAAACAATGGGGGCAACAAAAACGATCTGAACCAGCACATAATGGTAAGAATTGTAAAATAACTTGGTCTTTCCATGGTTTATAGATTTTACTTAGTGAATTATGCTAGCAGGAATAGGATAAAATAAAACTGAAGAAATCTGTTCAGTTAAATTCTACTGAATATTATGCTCCTTGTAGATAGATGTAACATTTACACGGTTATAAGCGTCAGTTCTTATTAACTTCTGTGTTTATCTATGCCAAATAAGAGCCATCTCTGCAGTTATAGCTTTGGCTTGTGAAACACTTAGTTTCCAAACAGCCCTTAGACCATCAACACACTAAAGTAAATTTCAGGAAACCAAGGTGGTTTCTTTTTTGTTTTTATCTAAAAATTATACTTAGAAGTTTTGTATAGTCTCCATTCGTCCCAAAACCTTGGCAGTGTTTCAGTGTGTAGTGAAATCTGCTTTTTTTTTTTTTTTGTGTGCGCCTCTACTTATGAGTTATCCCCTCAACCCATCCATTAGTTGAAGGACTAAAAGCTTTTTCTCATGTTGTACAGATCAGCACTTTGCAGTGTATTTTAAGAGATATAAAATGATCAATCACCATTCCATGTCTGTAACTGTAATACATGTAAAATTATTTTTTATAGCTTAACCCCTTAGGCAATTGAAAAAGTTCTGAAACAAAACCTAGAATTTGAGCGATAGGTCTTGTTAAACCATAATTTAAATTTTTTTCATATTAAGTGCACCCACACTTAGTATATAAAATTTTTGTTCAGGGGAAATATGACTTTCCTTTCACATAAAATGCCATGCAGAACTTATAACATTTCTTACTTTAGACTTTATATATAAATATTTGAACTGTGAATGCCGTAACACTGTTCACTTTTTACTACAATAAAACACACCTATTTGTGTCTGAGCACAGCAGTACCCCACGTACAGGTTTTATCGGGGGTTTTGGAAAGTTACAGGGTCAAATTATATAGCTCGCGAATTAAATTCTCTGGACTTTCTGCCAAGGTTGTCATGCAGCTCTCCCAATATATAATTATCACATTTGTGTTTAACTATTTCACTACTATACTAAGAATAAATAAAAGTTGTTGTGTTTTTTTAAATATATTTTGAAGTGTGTATATCTAGATACAGACACTCAGGGGGTCCGTTGTTGCACTGGCTTTATAGGCAGTAGCCTCATCCTGTTGAAACCACGTTTCAGGACAACTTTCCACTACCGGACGTAAACATTTTTCATATCTTGTTTCTTGCTTCATTTTTACTTGTGCCTTTGTGAAATTACTCATGATGAATCTCACAAGACTGTTAGTAGTTACATTTTTGTTGCAGGTACATATAGTTATTTACATGTTAAATCATAATCTGGCTTTTCAGCCTACCCTGTGTTTTACATACTCAGTCCCCTGCAGACAATCTGTCAATCACGCTGATCTAAGTAATGTGATCACAGTGTCATCTTGATCACGTAACTGGATTGGCTGCAACGAACTGCCTGGGTTGTCGGGCAATACTTTCCCAGTCGGATCTGGTCAGGAGGGAGAGTATTGGGCTGGATGGAGTGCCTAATCATTGGGGCATAGTATGCTGCCCTAAAGTTGTTTAAAGCCCGCTTGTTGTAGGATAGCATGGCACACTCTAAAATTGGAAAGGGTTAAGAATTGTACAAACATACGTAAATTCCAAATTTACCTGTTTACTTTTTTAAATTTTTTTAGGAAATGAGGTAACCTTGATAGTGGATGTGCACCACCTGGACAAGCGTAATAATAATGTGTCTGACCAAAATACTGCTTCAGGACAAGCCAAAAATAAGACCTCGGAAACTGTTGGTAAACACTCCTCCAACTCATCTTGTCCTGTGTCTTCGTCCTCTTCCACACTTTCCAGCTCGAGTGATGTGGTGAGTACGTTGTTTAAAGATTTATTGATATGCTCTGAAAAGTGTTTTCTTTATAGACTTCTTTGGGAGAGTGTACTCTTCTGCATACAGAGTGTCACTTGCTTGTTGGGGTATTTTTTATTTTTTTGGTGGTGTTAGTATATTAAGTAACCAGTCAGATGGCTATGGGATGTGTTGTTTCCTTTTCTTAAAGGGTTAGTCCAATCAAAAAAGTCCTCTTCACTGGAGAAGGGATATATGGCAAGGATGGGCTGAGTGGAACATGGGTGGCAGGTAGGGGGGAGTGCCACTATTGGTTGCCGGAATGCTGTGAGACATCCCATACCATAAACTAATTACCAGCCTAGAACTCTGGTGTCTGTAGCTTGCAAGTGCAGTATTGCCTTTACATTGATGCCTTGAAACTCCTCTAGAGACAGTCACTCAACCACTAGAGGTGCTTTATATTTCAATGCAGCACTTTGGTCAGCATTTCCATGCTCTGCATGAGGATTCTGAATGCTCCCTATAGATATGCATTGATTTATATAAGCTGTAAGGAGATGCTGACTGGCACAGTGCAAGGTTTTGTTGCATATGGGCAATTGCCTCCCAATGCTTTCCTATGGCCAGCCGCAGTGAGACCAGTGTGACGATGGAGAAAAGGTAAGTAAATCTACCTTTCTATCTCCCAAACGAAGGGGTGCTGGAGACCTAAACATGTAGTGTACCCTTTTAAACTATGTGAAGGGCTGCACATTTAGACTCCAGGTGCCAAGATCACTTCAAGTTGTTGAAGTGATTATGGTGCTTGGGGTAATCCTTTAACATACATACAGATCAAATTTGTGCTTTAAAACAAAGGTGAGATCTAGATTAACACAAGTCATGTATTGAAAATCTAGGTCTCTTTATTATTGGCTGTTAGTACTAGTTATATCTCTATGCTTCTCGTCTCTCCACCGTCAAATTTACAACCCTATAACTTTGTAAATATAAAAGATATGAAACTGCAATTTTACATAGGTTCATACCTCAAATGGCCCTTTCTGTATGTCATTTACATGATCATGATCTTTACACTAAAGCTTCATTAAGCTAAAGTTGTTTTTTTTTGACTGTAGTGTCTCTTTAAGTTAAATTTTATAGGTTTATAGAAGTTTTCAAAATTGTTGATTTAATGTTTCTATATGGGTATTTACACTGTGTGCCTGCCTTTGTGCAGACAACGGTGACCGCTTACTTTGCATGACACGTGTCTCCCATAGAAAAAAGTCATTAAACGTCTGTGCATTCAGGACTCAGACGGAACTTCTTTCAAACCTACGAAGCATCCCAGTGGCCGGCAAACCAGCGATAGACTAGCTGTTCAGGAAACATGTGCAAAATCCACACAGCCCAGCGGCAAACTGCAGATTAACCAGAGCATCAGTTCTTCTAACAGCAGCAACAAAGCCCAGGTGTGTAGACTTGCCACACTCTCTGCAAATCAAACCATAACACTTTGAAACTAAATTTGACCCCATACATAAGCTTTATGCAATGGACAATCTCAATCCTCTAAAGGAATAAATCAAATCTTGTTTTAACCCCTTAAGGACACTTGACATGTGTGACATGTCATGATTCCCTTTTATTCCAGAAGTTTGGTCCTTAAGGGGTTTAAACAGGACACAAGAATATGTTCTGGACTTACTGTGTACAAAGTAATTGTCTAAATATATGTGGTCAGAATAAATTGTATAAATTCTAGTTATTAGATGCTACTGAAGTGTTAAGGCTGTCCCATAAAATAAGTTTTGATCTGTGATTCTTTGCAATTAGAAACAGCCTACTGTAAATTCAAATAGGTGTAGGAAGTGTAGTCTTACTCTCCTAACAGTTTAATTGTGTGTTGTATTTGTTCCATTCTAAGAATTGTAATCTGAATATGCTCAGTTGTATACAATGCAGGTGCGTGTACGTGGTGGTGGGGGAGGGAGGTCACTACTTTATTAGTCAGGATTGGTGTGGAATGTGTTTCAAATATGGCCATTGTTTTTATTAACAAACCATGCGCATGGCTATCAAAATTTAAGATTTAATTTTTCTTTTTTTTTCTCTTTAGTTTAAAAGTATTTAATATTTCTATTCTAAGATATTTATATTTTTAAGATTTAACATTTTTGATACATTTGTTATAAATTTATACATGTTTTTAATACTTAATAAAAGATATCAAACAATAAAATATATTAAAATAGAAGTATTTTTGCAAAATTGAATTTGAAAAGCTTATCCAAAATATTACATCTGAGATTAGGGTTTGTCTGCAAAGTAACCAACAAAATGTATAGACTTGATGTGTTTGAACTTCCTGTGAGGTTCTCAAACATGTTTGGTAGTTTGTATAATTACTGCAATTTTCTTTCCCATTTAGCATGGCACAACAAGATTGTTCCGTTCCACAAACTCCAGCAAAAGTTACCAGGGTCAGCAGAACACAAGTCAAGGCTCATCTGTGCCAAGTCGGCATCCGCAGAGTGGCAAAGCACATAACCAGCAGTACCACAGCAAGAAGCGTAAGCACAAGCGGGATACAGACTTGTGTAGATAGCTGTTCTGGGGCTGAACTGAACTTAACCCCTCTCCCCGTTGTGCCGCAGAACAATTAATAAGCAACAACTAGGGCTCTGTTGATCCCAGAAGCTTCAGTACTGTTCAGACTCTTTATTTTAGGATTTATTTTTTTTTCCTTTTCCCAGCTAACCACAAAATGGATCATGAAGATTTGCAACCACAGAAAAAAATCTACAAAAATCTACAGAAAAAAATTTAAAAAATAAATAAATTAAAAAAGTGTCTCTTGGAGGCAAAAAACACATTTAGGAAACTATGACATTTGCACTTCAATTTCAGCTTTTTCAAGTTGATTTGTAGAACTTAAAATCCAGTGTTCATAGCTTGACAATAAAAAAAAAAAAAGAGAGAAAAAAACAAATAGGAAAGGTGGTGCAATTTTGGCAAAAATCACATTCATGGGAACTGAAATCTGCATGATATATATTTTTTCTTTTTTTTATCGGTTTCAATATTCTACTTTTATTGTGCGTACAATGATACGTTAAAAGTTGCACATTTGCAATGGTGCATTTGCTTTTTACATATAAAAAAAACAAAAAACCTGAAATAGGATGTGTAATGACTCTCAACCAGTCCGTGAATGAAGCTTTTCATTGTGAAACAGTGAGTTGCAGTCCCCCAGAAAAAGGAAACTGCTTGTACCCTATTTGAGTATTTATAAATGAAACTTTTTTTTTCTTTTGGCTTCCCTCTCTACGTTTCAGGATGTTTGGCCCCATATGTTCTCTATTGAAATTTTGCTTTTCAGCACAAATTACCACACACCTTATTAGAGATTAATGTAATCCTTTCTTTGTGTTTACCTGCAGAAACATTCAATAGGTGTGCAACACAAATGTCTCATCTGTCCTGCTATGATAAATGTTCTGATATTGTGTAAGATCCAGATATTGTGTGATTATACAAAGCAGGAAATGGGCACATTTACCATTGGGGTTAAATTTCTGAAGTTTAAAAAAAAAAAAAAAATTTGAAAAATGATTTTTTTTTATTTTTTTTTTAAAGGAATGCTAAAACTGCATTTATTTATTTTTTTAAATTGATCTTGATTGTCCAACCTTTAGTATACTAAAATATTCTTCATGAACAAGCTCACGCTGTAGTCCCTTCATAGCCGAAGTGCTACAGGCTGGAGGTAATGTCTGCGTCCTAAAGTTTTATTCACACCTGGATAATCTCATTATATCACTAGCCTTGTAATCTGTATTTAGTTGTTTTTTTGCTTTTGTTTGTGGTTTTTTTTTATTTTTATTTTTTTATATATATATTTCTCTCCCCTTTTGGTGCAATTTTCCTTTTCAGGGTTTAAAAAAAAAAAAAAAAAAAATTCTACACAATGCTGGTTTAGTAGTTAAGAGAATTGAAATATTTAGACCAAAATAACGGAGGATGCCAGACCATTCCAAACTGTTTCTGTTCACTGATTAGCCCCGATTTGGGTTTTTGAGTCAGCGTTTGAGTGGATTGTTGTGATAACATTATGACCTATGTTTCATGAAGCCTTGACCAAGGCAGTCATTCTTGCATAGTGGAAACAATGAAATGAATAGGGGCACCTGATCACTATTTTCTGCTACAAACTTCCGTGCAAAGGTGTGAAAATCAGATGTAGAAACACAGTGCTGTTATATGCTGGATGTAACGATAACTTGGTTATTCATGTGGAGTTGCAAAGAGCTAGTATGTAGCTCCAAAATGTTGAATAAATAGGTTGATTTTTAAATCCAGTGCCACTGTATTCTGTTTCTACAGAATATTACTAAACCTCCTCTCTCCCCAGATGAATCCATTATGATGATTTATCAGGACTTTGGTTTTAAACAAATGGCTTAAATGTTTGGGAGCATGTAGCCCATAATAGTTGGAACCAAATGATTTGTTGAGATAGATAAATCATCCTCTATATAAATTCCTGTATGGTTTTGGTTATTCACCACGAAAGATCTGTATTTTTAGTCTAAGGGTACTTTAGGAAAATATTTTTACTTAAAGTCTTTTAACAAAAATAGTGTTGACAGTGTGTAGTTTAACTTGGATCTGGTGATCAAGGGAATATATTTTTTAATTATTTTCTTGCCTTTTTTTAACATTATGCAGTACCTTATTTGAGAGGAGAACTTCTATTATAAGGTGATGTTATAAGGCCATAATCACTAACTTAGGCATCTCAGATGTTTGAACCACTCCTAATACCCAGCAAACCTAGTTACAAAATGTTTGTTGTGCCAATGTTTAAAATGATTCAGCCAATGCATAAAAACTGGAAAAAAATTATACTTTACCATCTTTTGATGTTTACAGTGTGAAGCAGTGCCTTTAAGCCCCTAAAGGTTATCTCCATCTTTTGTATCCTGACTTGTCTGCTTCTTTATTTTAAAGAGACAATATGCATTTAGACTTTTATGCCTCTACTTTCTGCGACATGGTTCTAAGATTTTTTTTTTTTATTTTTTTTTCAACTACTTAAATTTCTAAGAAGTGTTGCAGAAGAAATACATATTTACTTTAATATGTAGAACTGCCAGTGGGCCAGTACGGTGCTTATTTCACATAAAGGCATATTGTAATACAGCAGTTAATTGTTGTGTTCTGTAACACAACCCAAAATCTTTCCCTCAATTCTTCCATGTTCTCCATTCTGCAGTCTTGTTCATCATGCTTTTCAGCACAGGGCATTTGTGAGAATATAGTAAATTTCTCTTTAGAATCTGTAGTACTCTTTCAGACCGCCAGGTAACTCTGCCCTAGAACTAGTTTCATTTAAAACTCTGTGTTGGAGACCTGTTTAACATGACATTACTTTTTCATTCTGTGTGTATTGAATTTTAATCACTGACTTTATTTAGTGAAGGATACAGTCTCTGAAGTCTGTCACATTGTTTTAAACAAAGACTTAAAGGGTTATCCACTAAAGTGAATATTTGTGAGAATTAAAAGTAAGTTTTAAATTAAGGCCCAAAATAGTTTAACTGGAATCATTCTCAATGTCAGCTCTGCTACCAGTGCAGTCTGTAACTTGAAATTAACTTTGAATTCTTGTATTACCTGACTATTTTCACGTTGGTAAATAACCCTGCTAATCCCAAACAGATACTTTTCAATGAGTATTTTTTTTTTAAACAGATTTTTCTTAACTTTAATAGGAAATACTAGATTGGTGCATTATTTCTCAGCTAATCTAAAGGAAGAACTGACCACTGCATCAGTGTCTAGTAGATTTACTAAAAGGGCTTTAGTATCGTAGGTATAAAATTAGGATTGAGGTATCCCGCAATGTTGTTCCTCTAAAAAAAAAAAAAAGGTTCTAAAACTACGATCATATTGAATTTCACACACTGGATGGGATAATAAAGTATTAAAGTCATATCCCTATTAAATGAGTTTTTTTTTTAAAATTTATATATAATTTTATATTAATGTTTTTTTTACTCACACATCTATTGGGATCTGACTATCAAATATTTTTTATAAAAAAGTTAAATCCCTAAAGTTCTCATCCACCTATTTGAAAAAAATAGAACGTTATTAAAAAAACAACTTGGTATTCTCTTCCATGTCGTGTATGCACAATAGAATCAAGAAAAAATTACTAATCCTGTATGCCTTACTACTGATGAGGCATGTGTATAAAACTTAGAAAATAACAGACCAGTGCACACCAAATGTGTATATAAAAAAGTGACGTTTACAATGTCCACTTAATACATGGGATTTAATGTTAATATTTGTACTAACTGGAGGAAACAAATTGTCAGTAAGGTAAGAAAATACAACAAATGTAAATATTATTTGGTACTTGACATTTATCACCAAAGTGTCTGCTCTCTTCTGCAGTTTTAATTGTCTGGAACAACGTCCCAGCTAGGAAATTTCAATTCAGGGAGTTGATCTTGATCAGTGGGGATGGGTCATTAAAAAGTCAAGACAGGTGAATTTGCATAGCCAAAACTTTACTCTTCTTTCAGTTGTTTAAAATAAAAGAAAAAAGTGGTCTGTAGCAGCTGTTTTGACAAAATTGACCCAATTTGGAGTGGTGGGATGTGCTAATTTATTTTTGAATATCATTAAGATTCCTGCTACTCTCCATCAAATACACCAAATAACAAATGCCTATATTTGAACTGTAAATTCCCTTGTTCTTACACTCTAGCACTGGAATTTAGATATTGACTTCCTAATGTATAAAACAGCAGATCCATTTTTCTTCAAAAATATGTAGCCAAGAATACTATAACTTACGTTTTTATAAAAGCTATGCAAACCTTTACAGTTTTTGTGTTTTTCCATTAAAAAATGCGTAGTCACTGTTTAGCAGTTTTATCAAATGCATTTTAGTTTAGTGAAACAACTCTTCCAGTGTGTAAAAAAAAATAAATTAAAAAAAAAAAAAATTCTATGGAACGGACATTGGCCTTAGAAAGAAATGTTTATTATCCTCAGAATCCTATTGCGAGGACTGTAATATGTCAAATTACCACCTTGGAAAGTTCACTGTTTTATATATTGAATACTGAGCAATTGTACTAATCTGCAATACATTAAGGTCTTCAGAAAAAAAAGTTGTGGTTTTGTTTAATTGGTCACATTACTTATGCAGAGCCTAAATGTAGGCAGACTATTGCTAGAGAACATGTGGGCAGTTGTTTAGGTTTCTATAACCCCCTCCCGTTTAAGACTAGTGACGTTGATGGGATTGCCTTATCTCAATGTTTTGTAGTTGATACGCTTTGGACTCAGTTGGCAATATACCTAGTCATATCGAGAAAATCAATTTGTCTCCTGCCCTTTAGAAGTGGTTTACATAACCACAGGCTGCAGTTGTCAGAAAAAAATGAAGGGTGAAATAATCTTTATATATTCTTGAGGCTTGTCCAAAACACTGTGTATATGACAAGCCATATCTGCACCACTAAGGTACGGCAAGCTAGTTACTCTTCAGTTATTTTGGATGTACAACTCTCACTATGGTCTCCCAGCCTAAGAGCTCCTCTGGGGCTAACCCCAACCTAATGTGTATACCTATTTGGATAATCAATGCAAATTCTGTTTTTGGTTTACCAAAATGTACACTCTAAAATTTGAAGAAACCAGCACCATGAAAAATGTGTTTATTTGAAAATGTTTATAATGGTATAATTGAATTTCTAAAACTTTAGGTTTGAATTCTAGTAACTACCTGGAGAAAACTTACAGCAATGTACCTTTTTCTCCCAAGTTTGGTACCATGCATGTATTTTTATGTTTGCTTTTGTCAATTATCTGTTGGATCTGTCAGTGTTTTAAATTTAACCAAGATCTTGCATTGGAGGAAGCAAAATATGGATATGCTTGCATGGTGGTGAGTTTCGATGCTCTAATCTTTGTCCTGACTGCCTAGAGAAATTAGCCTCTAGCTCCCACTGATACCAGTGCTGCCTTGCTCATCCATTAAATTGCCTAATTCACTTAATCGTGACATCCTATCCTATTAGATGAGCTGCTCTTAAATTTGAGTCATGAGTGGACAATTTATTTTTATATATATATTTTATTTTATTTTATTGAAGGTCACCAAATCACAGTGCACTGTTAAAACATGGATGCTGAACAATTATGCAACAAGAGTGGGGAAAGGTGCTTATTTTAAAGACTGACAAAACTGTTTGCAGAATATGGCACAAGTTGTTTGTGTTTTGTACACCTGCTTTTTAGATTAATTTTACAGCAATATCTGTTGGATGAGAGTATTTTTATCCACAGGAAGCAAACTCATTTAAATCTGGTATTGATAGCAACTTGGAAATGTATAGTAGTGTGCAGTCCCCAAGCAAGAATTAATGATGATTTCCAGAAAACTGACAACTTTTAAGTATAAAACGTATCAAAAGGTTTCTAAAAATGAAAATGTGTTATAATTTTTATAAAGTATTTTATACTGCAATGTGGTATTTATGTGAACTGGTCAGGCAACATTCTTTAAATTGCCCCATTCTCACTGCACTTTATCATTTTTCCTTCTACCCTCTCGGATAAGAAGCAAAGCTAAATAACATGTTTGCCATCCTTTTTCTGGCATGTCTGTTGAACAGTGGTGTTTGCGGGAAGTTTATCTTGATTCTTTTTGGGATCTCCAGTTTGCCTCATATTTTATGGTTTTCAAAATTCAGCAGGGGAAAATGTTTTCCCAAATAGCTTAAATTTATGGGGGTAAACTGATTTAAAAATATGTATAAATGCATTTAGTTTTTTTTTTTGGTTTTTTTCCCCTTCTAGTTTCGAGGTGCAATGGGGATAAACAAATGTTTTGTTTTTTTTGCTTGTATTTTTATTTTACTTTCGTTACTACAGGCAAAACAAATGTTTTTCCACTTAATTTTTCTGCTCCAATACTGTCGTACATTTGTCTATGTATATTGCTCAATTATTTTATTTTGCTTTTGAGTTGATAATTTTTTTGGGGGGTGGGGGGAATTTGGCATTTTCTTGGATGGGAGGAAAAATAAATGTTTTAATTTAATGTATATCTTGGTGTGGTTTTGTGTTTGTGTACCTTGGGTTTAGTTATGTTTTAATCTTTTCATCAATACGGGCAAAATATGAAACTATGCATTCTACTGCTAAAACAAATGCAAGCCCTATATGCATCTTGGCTCCATCTTGAGGTATTCCATGTCAAGAGAAAATGAGATGCTTTTAATAGAATATGTGAAAACTGAGAGAGATAATTTAAACCCATACCTTGCATACTGGTGATCTACAAATGGTGCTTATGTGAAATGCACAACTCCAGAATGCCTAGAATTAAAAAAATAAAAAAAAAAACTGGGTCAGAACTCCTGTAGGTGTAGTAACAGTTGCTTGTTAAATGCCAAAAGACAATATTATGAAAATTAACATAGAAACATAGAGTGTACAATAGAAATGGCAAATGTTAGTTAGGATAGCCTTATGCCTATCCCAAAAAAAAACTTAAGCCTCTACCACTTCAGCTAGATGGCTATTCCATGCATCCACTACCCTCTTAGTACCTAATACTTCCTGATATTTTAAATATTTCTCCTCCTTACTGTTTGATTCCCTTTATGTATTTAAATGTTTCTATATGTCTTGTTCCAAGCTATATCTGTTAAGAGTAAGTTTTATCCTGTAATCCACGAACCAGTTTAGTAGCCCTTCTCTGAACTCCTTTACTTTCTGGAGATACGGTCTCCAGTACTCTTAACCAGTGTTCTGTACAATGGCCAGCACTTCCCTCTTTCTATACTAATACCTCTCGCTATGGCCTGCCTACCTTTAAATCCTCAGATGTATTAGGACTCTATCGTTGGGTCCATCTTGCACTTATCCACATTAATTGTCAGTTGTCACATCTGCCATCCCTCCTGAATCATCAAACCTGTTTTAGCAAAAGACATACCATCAAGACCTTCTGCAATGTAAAGATATTCAAGAGAATGGGTCCAAGTACAGATCACTGAGGTACCCCACTGGTGACAAGCTCATGCTTCGAATATACTCCATTGACTACAACTCTCTGTTGCCTGTCACTCAGCCACTGCCTTACCAGAAGCATGCTCATATTGCCTTCTGGAACTTGCAGTGCACTTTGGACACGGTTACCCTGAGTGTCTATGAGAATTTTATAGTCCTGAGTTCAGCGGTTGGATACAGGATTCTCAGTATATAACAGGAGACACACAGTCCTCCGATACAATTGTTGGCACAAAGCAGGAGGTCTGGCAGCCTTTCCTGGGGGGCAATAAGTCAAGTCCCATTGGACCACCGAAAGCTCACCATCCACGCCCACCTTTATAGTTTTATACGGATATTGATGTGAGTGGCAGCAAATAATACAATGTGGTTTCCACATAATTTATTTGAGCCGTATGTCAACTAAAATCTACAGTTTTAACACTGTTAATGTATGGGCATGCTTGCACAAAAATAAGAAGCAGAGAAGAAATATGTATAAAACTTTTAACACTAAACATTTGAGCAAAGGGTTAGCAAAGGAGGGAACTTTGACGAATATTTCCAATACTGCCTGAACCTGTTCCAGGATCATGCTCTCCACTGACATGAGCATCAATGCAGTTCTTGTCACCATTGGGCTCGCTCGGGCTTGTGGTTTAAGAGCTGACATGCTCTGACTGTGACATTGTGTAAAAGAAAGGGGTCAGGTACTCAAGGTCAAATTTGATGTGCACCAATTGTAAGCAAGACTGGGGGAGTGCGGCTGAACTGACGAAGATGCATCATTGGAGGTGTGTTTGCTATCAGCACCTTGGTAGATGTTCAGAGATCTACCTCTTTGGTATCAATGATTTTTCTGCTTTTATGGTAATTAACCCTCATACAAAATTATCCACGGCAGTGCCCAAAAGGTAGATTCTCCAGATGTTTTATAGTACAACTTACATGATGCATTGTCATTATAAAGGCATGCAAAGCATTAAAGGAGTTGTAGTTCTACAGGATCTGGGGATCTACCTTTTCGGCACCCCTGCTCTAAGGGATCTAAGTTTGAACTCCTAATGTTCCCTGCACTCCCATCTCCTTATTAGAAAAGTAATGGGCAAAGCTTCCCTTTCACCCCCTTTCGCCAAGATTCACAGGAAATGTCTTCTCCATAATAGAACACTGCAGGTGCTGTAATTGCTGCATCTCATTGAACTGCTTATAGGGCTGTAGTCCTCTGGCTCCATCCTTCATATCACTGATGAGCAATTATTTTGTTGTAAACTTGTTTATTAGAAAATATAATTTATTTTTTTGCATTTTCTTCCTATAATAACTGTACAAGAAACTTAAGCATGGAGCTAAGTGGTACACGCAGTTACCCGTTAAAAAGAATAAGGGCAAGTTAGCGGTTGGATACACAGATTCTCAGATAAGTAAAAGGAGACACACAGTCCTCCGATACATTGTTGGCACAAAGCAGGGGAGGGCTGGCAGCCTTAGTCCTGGGGGGCAATCCCAGTCAAGTGGCCCATTGGACCACCGAATCAGCTCACCATCCACGCCCACCTTTTCCTTGTTTTATAACGGATATTGATGTTATGAAGCAAGACAAATATGATACAATGTGGTTTAACATAATTTATTTGTAATGGCAAAAAATTATGTTTAACAAAAATAAAATCTACAGTTTTAACAAATGAACAATGTATGGGCACAATACACTTTTTCAAAAAATACAGAAGCCAGAGAAAGAAATATCTGTATAAAACTTTTAAACTAAATATTTGATCAAACGGTTAGCAAAGACCTCATCAAGGTAGAACTTTGACGAATAATTTCCAATACATCTGGAAACTGAACCTGTTCCAGAAGATCTCTCTCCACTGACATGAGCATCAAGCAGTTCTTGTCCCATTGTGGCTCGCAGTCGGGTCTTGATGAGTTTAAGCTTGCTGAATGCTCTCTCACATGACACTTGTGTAAAAGAAAGGGTCAACAGGTACTCATAGGTGATAGAAAGATTTTCATAAGCTGCAGAATAAAGGTTGTATTTTATCAACAACCTGTGGCAGCAAAGAAAGCACTGCTTGCAAGAACCGCATTTTGATTCCTTTTGTACCTCAACTAGTTTGTCAGTAGGTGGAATCCAGTCAATCTCCTCCTCCTCCTCATCAATAATTATTTCCACTTTCTGTGTCTCATCTTCAGAAAGACATCCTGTAAGACTTGGAAATAAGTTGGCAAAACTTATTAATTCAGTTTTGAGAGAACATTCATTTACTTTGGCTAACTTAGAAATTCTCTCTAGTGCCCCTCCATCTAGCACTTTGGGATCTGTCCTAATTTTCTGAAAAGTGCGAGGATCCAAGTAGTGGGAATCCATGACCAATTGCTTATTTTCTGAAAATCTCTCCGTCATGCTTTGTATGATTTGGTCCAGAATTGGTCTGAACACACTAGCTCGAAAACATTGCATTTCATCTTCAGGCCGTTCATCATGTGAAGATTCTCCAGCCAAGCGTTTCTTTCGTGCCACTCTTCGAACTGGAAGCATAGTCTCGACTTCCAAGGAGTTGAGAACATCACTTTCATCCATTAACTCGTTTGTTTTTATTGCAAAGTGTTCAGCCTTTTGTTTTAGATTGTTGAAATCAATTTTCTTCAGTTGCTCCACTGCACGTTCGACCATTTGCCATGCTACCTTGAAGTCAAGGCCACTGGTTTGTAGATACTTTAACACTGGCCCTATAACATCAAAAACCTGTAAAAATATGTTTGCTGTTAGGATAATCCTAAACTGACAAAGATTGTGAAAAAGGGATGAGGCCTCAGAAGTGGTTTTTGATTCAAACAAGTTACTCTGGGAAATTACATATAAAACTTCAAGGGTGTCAAAATAAAGAGAATGTTTTTCACCAAAAATCCAGTTAAGGGCTTTTTCTTTTGCCCACCATCTTGTCTCTCCAATTTTTTGTAACTTTAAAAGTTTTTCCTGTCCATGTCTTCTATCCAGTTGGTCTTTCTAGATATTCATTCTTTTGTGTGAGTCTCCAATAAAGGTTGCCAAGCGATTTAGGAGACCAAAAAAATTTTTGGCTTCCAATACTTGACAGCAATCTGAGACACACAGGTTAAGGATATGACTATAGCACCAAATATAAACCGCATCTGGCACTACCTTTGCAATCTGTGCACGTAGTCCCACATACGCACTCCTCATATTTGCTGCACCATCAAATGATTCACCAGCAATTCTTTGGAAATCTAATCCAAGCATATCAAAACAGTACATTAGAAGTTCGTGAAATCCTTTTCCTGTAGCGTCTTTAACAGGGAGAATCGCCACAAGCCGTTCTTTAATGGCTTCATCTTGCACATATCTCACAACTACTGTTGCTTGATCTACAATTCCAACATCTTGTGTGGAGTCAACCTGTATACTGAATCGTTTCTCTCCGATTTCAGACACAATTAAGTTTTTCATGCTTCAAACTATTGCTGCAAATACTTTCTTTATTGTATTATTGGACAAAAATGTCACAAGAGATCCACGTCCAGTTGAATGTTTTCCTGATGTTTTTCTGTCTTTCAATCGCTGTTTTCTTTTTTCACTGTCCTGAACACATTTATCAAGGTGATTTCTAAGAGGAATATCATACTGTGTAGGACAATTTCCAGAAAGTTCCCGTGGTTTATTTCAATGTTATTTAAATTGTATAGCGATTCATTAGTGCCATGGGGACGAAATGGCAATCCCTGTTTCCGAGGAGTTTTACAATATTAAATATACGGTTTAATACCTCAATATTTTGTAGTATCTCCTTCTTTCTTCTGGAGACTTGAGCCTGATTTATTAATGTGTCAATGCTTCTATTCGTTTTCATGGTAAAATAAGCACTAACAGCATCAGAATGACTTTTTGAAGATTCGTGCTTATTTGCTGCCTGATAGCAATGGCGAAAATTAGAACAACCAATAGTGAACGAGGAAGAGGAATTAGAAAAGGCAATGCATATGCTGCAAAAAAATGCTTCTAACTTTCGATCCTTTATCTTG